TTTGGATGGTGTCCAAACTACCCATGCATTTTGAGCCAAAGTATACCTCTGTTCCCAGAGCTTTTCATTTCCTCCTGCTACAACAGGTATTTCAGAAACCTGCAGTTTAAACCTTTGCAACTCATCTAGCGTGTTTCTTGTTCTGATTGTTGAGCCTGAAGTGTCACATATCTCTTTCTTTAAGATGGAAAGGGGAAATCCGGAGTATTGTGTGAGACATAAATGCTTTAAAGTGTCACGGTTTCTGTTTTCCTTATTGTGTTTTAAATGTCTTTTCGCATTCTTTACATTTGTAATCACAAATGAATGACATTTACTTATTCGTTACTTTAGTTAAACATGAGGAAATGTTAAACATTGCTACTCCTGTTTGGTTTTCAGTAACGTTAATACCAATCTGGGCAAAAGTCATTCACGTAAATGTTTTGTGATTACATGTGTGTGCATATACATCTTAGTTCTTTTAAATGTATCCTGTTGTTTCCATTGCTGCTGTTGCCTCTGCTGCTGCAAATCAGGAACTCTGGGAGATTTAGTTTGTTCTGTGGATGAAAAAAAGAGGCAGAAATAAATTTCTTCTTTCAGAGAAATGTCTCCTGTGATCGCTCCCATGTTGCACAAAAAAAATAAAAAACACATGGACTGCTCCATGCCTGATTCTTGAGCAGTTATCACTTTTACATACAATAAAATGTTTTAAAAACGTAAAAATGAAATTGGAAAACTTTTTTTTTAAAAAGGCTGGAAATAGCCGTTTTCAAAGGTGTGGTTTAGTTAAAGGCTAATCTAAAAACATAGTGGGGTTTTCCCCCTATTTATTTTTTTTTAAAGAAAAGTCAAGTGAAACCGAGTCCCTCTGAGACCACTGAAATGCCGTGTCTATTAAACTCCCATCTATAATTTATCTCGTGCAGGCCATTCAGTGATTTAAAAGCTAGTAATACAATCTTAACACTGACAGGTAGCCAGAGTATCTGCTTAAAATAGGTGTTACATGACATGAAACCCAAACACAGCCCTTCAGCTCACACAATGTAAGACTTTGTGAGACAATTGATAGTTTCATCAGAAATTAAACAAACTACAAAGACAAAGATAACGTGAAATTCCTCATGTTCATGTGATAGCAGTTGCTATCTTTGTCTTGAGCGTGGCTGCCCTATCGTGCTCCTACTGGTGGAACCCAGCTCATCCGGTTGGACCTGCACGGGCCTCATTCCTGCCTGAATGTGAGGCTTGTACGAACCAACCCCAAAACGCTATATAAAGAGCTCTTAACCCTGCAGTTAGTCAGTCTGGGCTGGGATGACACAAAGAAACACCACCGCGAGGAAAGAACTATCTCTAGGTAAGTCTTCTCAGCGCACGTTGGCTGAAACCCCTTGTTAGTTTTTGCGTATTTGCTCTCCATCAGGCCCAGTGTGAAATCTGCTGTCGTGATGTGTTTGACTTGTGCCTTAACCGACAGATTAACAGAACTTAATTCTGTCTGTTGTTGTTTCTTTCACTAGTGAGATCAGCAGTTTAGAGGACGGACCTGAAGACGTGCGTAGTCTCTCTGATTAAGTGGTTCTCAACAGTTCAACAGTTCTTTAACAAAATTGTGAAATGTTTAGGACCACTTGACCAGTACGACAAATGCTCCCACCTTTGGAGAAGAAGCTACACTGTTCTCGAGTGACTTTATACCAGAAAGGTCTAACGTTTGCCTTTTTTTAAATTAATTTTTTTAAACGACAGAGTGAATTGCTCTGCTTTTCTTCTTCCTTAATGCACGCCTTTGTCTCCTACTCTCATTGTGCCCCCTTGTGTTGCAATCACACCTGCAATCCAGGAGCTGCGGGGAGCTGTAAAAATCTTCAGGGTTCAGTAATTTCATTCTGCTGGCGCACATACAAATTTTTTAACAGCTCTGCTGCTCCTGCTGCTGTAACACCCGTCTTTTTCACTGCTTTACTGTTGCTGCTGTTCAGAAGTCAATAAAGAACCATTTGTCACTAATGGGTATGCGTGGGATTGTGTACTTTACGTCTGCAGGGATGGTCGCTGTCCAAAGTACTGAAAATTGCAACTGTGGTAAATATGGAAAAATCACATCTGCTGCTATCTAATTTGCCAAAACAGAGAAAAATAGTTGCTGGTAAGACATTTTAATCAACAAATAGTTAAGCGTGGGGCAGCTATTTCCCCATTTAACTTGGTTTAAGATCATTTTTCCTGGGCTGTTGTTTTCCCGTCTGTATTATATTGATTAAATCATTTATTAGTCTAAATTAGTTTAAAAAGCCTCTAAACTGAGATAGACTTAATTAAAGCCACAGGTTTGCATTCAGGTCTCTTATCTGCTTAAAGGTTTGATGAGAAAACCAAAACTAAGGACTCACAATCTGACACAAGTAAATCCAAATGCTTTTTCCCAGGGAAGGGAAAGGCTACTCTACATTGCATAAATCATTCATGAAAGCAGTGTGCACCATTTATTCCTTCTCCCCTTTTTAGACAGCCCCCTTCCTTTTTCTCTTTTGATCTCCTCCATGCGCCAAGAACTATCAATATTTGCTAAACGTTTCTCACAAAGCCTGTCCGTGCACCGGGAGAAGCTGCAGATCGAGGTCTCACAGTCAGAGGATAAGACATAGGAGAGGACTTAATGAGATGCCCAGAGCGATTTCCCTGTACGTGCGCAAGGGCAGCAGATGTAGCAGCACACGAAGTCCCAGGGGATCCCGTCTTTGGAATTTCATCAGCGGCCAGAGGAGACTCAACCCAGACCTCCTCCAGAGGGGAGGGCTGGGTGACGGACATGGTAAATCATCTTTACTATGAATTGCAGTTATTGCTCTTCTCACAACCCCTGTCTCTCCATCACACAAAAGAAGGTGTCTGTGTTTGCGTGCATGCATGCTTGCATGCGCAACAGCGGGTGTGATGAGTTGCGTTGTTCTGGGGATAAAACAAATGATTAACCCCCCTCTGCTTAGCTGTCAAGTCATAATTGTTGCACCAGAGTCACTCTTGATCTTCTCTGCCCTCCGGAAAGACAAAGAAAAACTTTGCTCCATGCAGCCGCCGCTCTCTCCCGGTGACCTTACAACTTTCCAGCAGTCAGATCAGATACGTCACACTTACACTTACCGCCACTGTGAATAAAAGTTGACTGTATTTGGGCTCTGATACTAATGAGCTAAACTAATAAAACGATTGAAGTTAAAGATAAATTTCACCCAAGATATGATTTCCGCTCAGCTAGTTCATTTGTTAAGTTAAAGGAACCATCCACAGATTTCAACCTCAGCCAACAGGTACTGCTGTTTCCAGGGGCTTTGAAGGCACCTTTTAAAACTCAGAGCTAAATAAAGCTAATCATGTCATAGTCTTATACCACGGAGCCCAAAATACCACATACCACACCAGCCTGTGGTGTTTCTTAATTTAAACTGCACTCTCAGGTGCAACATATAGCCTATCAAATATTTGTTTCTGCTCTTATGGGCTTTGGTGGTGACACTTAACCCCATTATATCAATTTAATCCAAAAGAAATAATGCGGGTTCTTACAGCTGTAACATTAAAAAAAGCATACTTTGTCAATTTGAATTCAGTTTTCAAGAAATGCGAGCCAGTGTTTCGGTGAAACCACCACGGGTGCCGCGTTTCACAGTGACACGTAGCTCACCGAGGAGCGGCTCCATGTGCATGACATCATCACTACAGTTTGTTTCCGTGCAGTCCAGTCTGAGAAGAAAAACTGGTTTATATTCGTAAATTAAACCCAGGCAGGACAACGCTCTGATTATTCTGTTTAACGCCTGTTTTCATTCTAAAAACGAATCGTCTCTAAATAGTTTTTACTTTTGTTTTTTAAAGACAACTCATTACTTTTATAATAGATCCGCTGGATCACAGGGAAACCACCCACTGGCCTCGTTCTTAATCTCACTATCTTAGCCGCATCTTGCTCGAAGAGTTGAGGCTATTCGCTGCATAGTGATTGGCAACCATGCGATCTTACTCAGTTATAACTGTTAGTTCCATTTTTAAGCAGCAAACACCTTAAATTATCAGGAATTTCAGCACTCGGGAGATTTTTCCGCCTTGGACATCTCACAGGAAATTTGAGCTGATCTGATTTCGATACAGACTGTAATAAAGTAAAATCAATCAAAAGCTGATCTGTTTCAATCCAAACAAAATTGGCTATCACTGCAGATAACCGTCATCACGGTAAACAAATCAAGTGCCTCATATTTGATTATATCCCAGACTGGCTTCTACAGCAACACTTTAACCACAGAGCTGCAGTACATTCTGCTGCAGGAAGATTATAGGAACATTATATATGTATATAAGACAAACATATAACATAGAAGCTTTGATTGGATCGTTACTGCAAGCCCCTACATGAATAATACAGGAATATTACAGGGGGTCTGCCGTTAGGGGTTATAGCCGGATTGTCATTGTGTTTTACGTGTTCGTCCAGGGGGATGACAACGACGCACCAGCAAATCGGCTATGAGAGCAGGTCATCTCTATCTGAGGGAACAGAGAGCGAGAGAGATGGAGAGAGAGGGAGGCTGAGTGAGGGGGAGAGAGGAAGGGAGGGAGGGGGAGAGGAGATGAGATGAGAGTGCAGCAGATGCACAAGGTGCTCCTTCTCTCTCAGACCTGCAACAGCACTCAAAGATCATGGATAATCTTCCTCAGGATGGCTAAAAAAGTATTTCAGTGGATATAAACACATTTTTGCGCACCGGATGGATTGCAGTGCTTGTTTCCCTCCCTCTTATTGGGCTGCTGGAAGTCGTGGCTATTTTACGCACACGTGCGAGCGCTCAGCTTGAATGACTGAATGTCCGGATTAAAAACCCCTTTGGATCTTTTTAGGTGGTACGAGACATATAAAATAGATGGCTGTAAGAATCAAATAGGTTTCCCAGGGAGTGGAATATTTTCTAGGGTACACTTGCAGCCCACATGGCTTTACCAAACTCACCGGGGTCTCCCGAAGCTGGGAAGCCCAACCCCAGCGTCATAGACCTGGGGACATTCTTCGTCGACTCGGACATTATATTTGGGTTTACAAGTCACCTGCTGAAGAGAAAAACAAAGGTAAGAGTTTTCTCAAGGGATGTTTGAAACAAACGCTATCTCAGAGAGCATGTTCTTGCTGGAGCGCTGTTTGCACAAGTGGGAAACAGTGACGAGCCAGATAAATGATGCGCGCTTGACGGGTCCTGTCCGCTATTCAGGACCGTGAGCAGCACCTCGTAGCATCTGCGATCCCTGTTAACCTCCAGCTTCATTCACTGATTTCAAGAATCTCCAGTTTTGCGTATCAATACTTTCTTCAGCATTTTGCAGCAAATAAAAGTGCCTTAACTTAAATTCTCTTTAACTGCTGTTAAAGTAAACGAGGAAAAATAAGGCTTGGTAGACAATTCAATGACAACTTACCAACATATTTAAATATGACTTATAAGCTGGTGTGGAAAAAATGTTTATTACAAGGTGCGTTGTTTAATTTAAGTCTTAATTTCCTAATAATAAATCTTCCAGTGTCTTTTGACAAGCCCCTTTCAGCCCCGAGAAATGTTGCAGCCGACGATAAAAACATATATTGGAGGTTATATTTACGTTTAAAACGTCACCATTGGCTGATATGACTTGTGCAAAAGAAGTGGACGAGAAAAAAGTGAAATCAATTAAAATCTTTTTATGGGGAGAGAAAAAAGAGAAACCGTTTCTTATGTGCAGGACAGCAGGGCATGTGGCGACTGTCGCTTACATCACCCGCATGAAATATTCAAAGTTTACCAATTAAATATTTAACCGTGGAGAGCCCACCCTCTTCAATTTGAGAGATGGTGTTCTTTATTTCTGACGGAGGATGGCGCCAGAGTAACATCAGCGACAAACATCTCTGCTCCCTGAGAGGCAACAGTTGACGGTGCACCCTGAAAGCGAATAAAGCACAAAATCCTGCAAGAAGATTCATATTATCATTATCATTCATGTAAGATGTTGTCTTTGACATTAGTTTAATTAAGCTCCAATTTAGGGTTTTATATAGCCCTACCTACCAATTTTATTTCTATATGCGACAAAATCCCCCCAAATAACAGATTGGGTACCTTAAAGTGATTAAGGCATCTAGTATTATATTTTTCATATATAATATATATTTTTTAATCTCTTTATATCTCTTAAGATATTTTTACATTTAATACAGTTGTAAAACTTTAAAACTACTCTAGACTATGGCTATTTAAATCCGCGCGTGATAAACTGAATAGAGCAAGCTGAGAGAGAAACTACTGAGATTTTTAATAAAGAAATAGTGGAAACGTTTTTATGCAGTTAAATTAGTATAATATTCGATAATGGTTCACTTCACAGACAACTTGATTGCCGCATGAGCAGGGAAGTTTCTTTATCCCTCCCATTCGGAGAGTAACACCGCCTCCTGCGCACGGCTGAGTGCCCTCCTGTACCAAAACTCCTCCACAACTTTGGAGCTTCATGGGGCGCACTCACAAGTTGCCTTCGCTCAGCCGCCACCGGTCCGGTGCGATGTGACAGATGACTGATAACCTTCAGTCCGGTCTTCGGTGCAGCCTATGGCTCGGTCTCGCATTTTTCAGCCACAGTATCCGTGAGTTTCAAGACGTTCTCCTGAAGGTGCAACCTTGAGTTGGGAGAATGAGCTCCTCTTGGGGCAGTTCAGCTTTTGATGGTGAAGACCATGACAACCGCGTGTTCACTGTAAGTGTCTCCCTGCACAGGATTACGTGTAAAAAAACTAATTTGCTTATTCTTAAATACAGTTTGCATTGTTTTTATTTACATCTGCTTTTGTGAGGTGCGCACTTCAGGTGCTCTGTATTCAAACGGGTTGTCAAGGTACAGGCAAAACAGTTTCACCGTCACAGTTGGAGGCTTTTTAAGTGCAAACTACTCTTTTTTGAAACCTCAAAAGTTAACCAAACCTTTGCTTGTTCCGAAGGTGGAGGGATGTCCGGGTGGAGAGTCTCCCGCGACCCCCAGGAAAAGACTTCACTCCGCGGAGGAAGCGCAATGGAGCAGCCGACCTCCTCCTGAGGGCGCCGGGTCGGTTCCCATCTCCGAGTCGGAGGAGAAGGGAGGCTTTTGCCAAAGTTGCCAGAAGAAAGTCTCAGAGCTGAAGAAACAAGCGCTAGCTCTGGCTGACCAGAATTCACTGAAGGTTGGTGTTATAATTTGTAATCTTTGAAATCTTTTAGCACATTCTGTCGCTCACATTTTAACTTTTTTTGTTTGCATTGAAAAGTACTTTGATCACCCAAGTTGCACTTCTGCTTTACAGTAATTCATGGTAAAATTTTCATAAAAAGCCATCAAGCAAGCAAATTATAGTAACTATTACCACAGAATAGTGATAGGAGCTCTGTAGTGATGCTTGTGTCCACCTGCACCTGCTCTTCGCATTGAAACATGAACAGTGAAATTAGATCCAGCTAATGTTTCACCAAGAAAGCTCTCACAGTCCACTTGCAAAGCTGTTTATTGCTATACTTGACTTCAAAATGCTGGCTCTGGATGTGAAAATGGAAGCTTTTGAGACTTTGAAAGTGGCCTATTGTTTGGCTAAACAATGCTTATCTTTTTATTTTGCTGTTGGGTGTGTGTGTGTGTGTGTGGGGGTGTGTGTGTGTGTGTGTGTGTGTGTGTGTGTGTGTGTCGAAGGGGCCGAAACAAGCAGGCCCCGCTCACGTTGGAGACTGAGGAGGAAGTTAAGTCCCAGTCGACCTTCGCTGTGCATTGAAAGTGTTCCTGTGCTGCTGCTCCCACAATTCCCACCGCTGTTAAATATAGGCCCTGAGACCACTGTTGTTGTGGCGCGCTGGTTTTTGCCCCAGGGTCGGTTCTCCTTTGTTGTACCATTTTAGAGGGAAAGTCTCAAAGTTAGATTGGATTACTGCTCTACAAGGTTCACCCTGAATACGCCTGCACCTGATGTTCATACAGGAACAGAATACATAAGGGAGAAGGAAACATTTGGACAGCACCTGTGCTCCGGTTTGAATCACCTGTATGTGTGGTCTAATCTTTAAAGGTGGTTTTGAGTGTATCAGATCTATAGTCAGGTTTCAGGTTAAGTCCACACATTAGCCAAACCCTAACTATTATTATCTGCCCTGGGAACTGACCTCCCCTTTTTTAGTGTGGGACCCTCCAGCAGTACTTTGTGGCCTTCAACAGGTGCTCTGGGCTGAAGAAAGAGACGAAGACTTCCCCTCTGCCCCGTATTTTGCACTTGTTGATGGCTAAATTGCGCCTTAATTCCGGGGTGGCAAACAGTGATGGCAGGGTGCTGTTATTGTACCAGCGTTATGGTATAGGTTTCCCCTAGGTGAAGGATAATAAAACCATTGTCTTTGTGAGTTTGAGCTGCTCACCTGTTGGGCCTCATAGGATGGATGCAGTTATGGATGATCGCTTCCAAATTACTTCCTCCATGGAGGGAAGAAGGTCAACACGGTTATTCAGGTGGCCTGCTGGGATACCTGCTAGAGTTCAGCCAGTGTTGTGTCTGCGGCCGTCATGGGAAAAATGAGTGCGGAGACTGTTTACTGAGGTCACACTTCCCCTCCCTCCCCATCCGCCCGCCGTCCCGTTTTTGAGAGGAGGAAGTCAGCTTGGTCCCCAGGCATCCCCCCCCCCTTCTCTGCCGTAGACTTATTGTTTGAATACAGTAGTAGTAGTGAGTAGATAAAAATTCAAGGAAAAGTGTTTGGGTCAAGTGAATGTGCTTTCAGACATGAAGCGACTGGAGGGAAAGCTGACTTTTAACACACATTGAAGTCCAGACAGCTTTTGCATTTTCCTGTTTGGGTCTAAAGGAACAAGAAACTCGGGGAAGTAAAGCCCTTCTCCCCTCCACGCTGTTGTTTATTGTGGCTCTGTGGAGCCCAGTGGTGTAAGTGGACAATTGCAGCAATGCAGTGATGTTTTTGTGCACAGTCCACTTGCTTTGAATGTTCAACAAAGCAGCAGCAGCAACGATTTTTGCATAACATTTACAATGAATTTCTGATTATAACCATTTTATGACATCACGCTAAGGGGGTCAAGCCTAAATTAACTTTTCTGAAATTGGGTCCTCGAGCTACTACCCCTACATTTTAACTGCCTTGACACATTTTATGTTATTCAGAGAGAAGATAATGAAAAGTCTCGTGGAAAAGTGCCCTTTCCTGAAAGGACAGGTAAAAAAAATAAGAGACACTGACAACCACCAGACTCTATTTAATCAAGGCACTTCAATTGCTTAATTTGCATAATTAAAACCTACAATAATGAATGCCTTGACTAGAGAACAGCAGAGAGTCTGGATTTCCTAATTCTAGCATGCTTATTGTGGCTGGACACAGCAGTTGGTGAGGTATGCCACAAAGTAAAACGATTGCTTGAATCTCAGTTTCAAAGAAACCTGTTAATTTCTTACTGCAAGCTAAATTAGCCAGCTTTCGGCTAAAGCTTAGCGCCATATGGAGAGGTGAGGTATCAATTTCCACCTAGCTTTCAGTAAGAAAGGGACTAAGTGCATCTGCAAAACCATTAAACTATTTTTAAGATCAAATATGAAAACTGTTATTTGCAAATGATGTCTATGACTTTTTTACTTTTACTGATAATATAAATTTTGAGTTGTGGACGTATTTTAAATATTTCCATTTTCCAAACCATTGCACTGAGGTTTCACTGCAGGTCAGTGCTGACAGACAATCATAAATAAAGATGCCTATGAATGTAAAAACCAGCCTTGGACCTTGTGGAGTGCACGAGTGTGCTGACTGCTTAACAGGGAATGTCCTGCGGGCCTGTGAGGGTTTAAAGATTTGGATTAAGCTGAACTGTTGGTGTTTTTTATTGCAGCCAGGCCTCACCTCTGCCATGAGGGAAGTGAGACACTGAGCTCTGCCCCGGCCACCATACAGATCAAAGTATAATGAGCAAGTGAATCAAGTTAAATCTAGCTGATAGAGAGCAAACCACAAGCTAATCAAGAATACAATGCACTGCTGATATATGCACAATGTGTTCCAGCCTATTATGGATAGGGTGAGTGAATGTGACTATGAATGTGGCTGCACAAATTAATTTGAACCACGAGGCCTTTTTGCCAGGTTTTTCATGATGAATTCATAAATTACAGGAACGGTAATTTTCACAAATGACTCTCTGGGATTCATGTTTGATTTGTTCCTGCTTTGCTCCTTATTTGACCCTCGATCCATTTAGAGTGCAGCCTCGTTAGTGAATCCATATAACTGTCTCGGATCAGGTTTTATTTCCCGAAACACTACAGAAAGGAAATTAATCAACCTTATGTCATCCAACAAATGTTTCCAGGCCAAACAGTCACTGGCATAGCATGTTCTGAGCATGTTTGTCTTTGATTTATGATGACCAGAGATAGGTGAGGCAGAATACACAGCTAAGGATTCAGGAATGATATTTTGCTATTTTGCACAAGCGAGCGTGTGTTTAAAAGTGTCCAAAACATATAGGCGAGAAATGGGTAAATGACTGCAGCTCTGCAGGCCTGGTTCCCGTTACCTCTCCTTTGTTGACTGCCCTCTGACATTTCTGTCACTTCTCTCAGCTTTTATGGTGGGTTAAGGTTTCAAGGAGCTGACCTGTGCAGGAACAAGAGCACACTGCAGCTTCGCTGTAGGAGGGCAGACGACAGAGGACAGAGTGAAAACCCAAACTGACGTAGACTTAAAACAGAGCATGGCCATATTATTCTATTCACCTCTAAGCACCTGAGCCCCCGAGGCCCTCGCTGATACGTGTATGTGTGTGCCTGTGCGGCTGTTCAGCAGTGCGAGCACTGCAACGGGCCTGGGAGGAGATGAGAGACGAGGCAGGAGAATAGAAGAGACTCTGAGCTGAGCTGTGCTCTTGCTTTATCCCTGCATGCGGTGTGACTTCTGCTTTATGGCATGTGGCTGTATTAAACTGTAGGGCAATAATCTGGTGTCAAGTGGTGCAGAGACCATAGACATCAGTCATGCTGGTACCATGCTGTACTATATATGGGAGCCTCAGCAGCATGCAGTTGTGTACTGCCATTTTACCCAATCCCCACAGCTTCATTTATCCAGTGCTGGGTGTTGCGGGAATGGCAATACTTTTTCAGTATAGATCGAAATTTGTCTAAGACACCCCGAATTGACAGGCGCCTTTTTCTTTTCTCAGTGGAACAAAGCACAAAGTTAGTACTGTGAGCGCTGCAGGAATTTAATTGCCTTGAAAAAACCTCCTCCAAAAACCTTCATCTCCATTATTTTTCAGCCTGTTATTCATCTTCATCTATACTTCTGAACTGCCCAGTGCTCCCAGAGCCCTTTAAATTTGAACAGTGGAACAACTCTGTCAGTAGTTAAAGGAGTGTAAAGAATTTCTCATTCACTTTCTTGCTTCCAGATTTTCACAGCTGGTCCTGCTTTCAGAGCACTTTTACTGGCCACAAACCTTATTTTTTAACCTCCAGGCAACTCTGGAATGAAGGCCACATCTTCACTGTGTCTGCTGCAGTTTCATTTTACATCTTTAATTTAGTGAGCTGAAAGTGAATTGACCCCAATTGTCGCTGGCCAGTCTGCCACTTATCACAATTGCAAGGGTAAATTGGTATGAGGCAGAGAGCAGAAAATGGGTTCAAGGTGCACAGATTCAAAGTCTGAAGGGTCTGGATGGAAAGTGAGCTGCAGTGAGACTGATGCTCATCACCTTTCATCAGGAGGAGACCGCAGGAATCTGTTGGAGGAGGTTGCGGAATTCTCCACCTGGAACTTCCATTCCTCAAGTCTGCATGTCACTCCTTGCTCAGAGGAGCAAGATGAAACAGGGGCTGACTGAGGCTGCCCAGCAGATGCCCACTAACACACATACACACATAATGTACGCACACAAGCAGGCACACGCACATATTTGCTTGAATGTGTCCTCCTTCGGCCATCTGGCCCTTTCTGCTGCTACTGCATGCCATTGCAGTGTCTACAGAGAGCCGTGCAGATGTTCCCACCGTTACCTGTCAAAGCAAAGCTTTTTAGAGCTGTTTAGATGTGGGGATTTACCCTGCTGCTTCCAGTTATCTCTTTCCATCTTAGATCTTCACTGTAAATATACACTCCCAATAAGTGAGCTTTGCATTTAGAAAGAGATAGAAATGTA